GGAACACCACCCAATAGTACTGACCAACTGCCCAGATATACATGGATTTTGTGAATGTGTATATCATGAATTTGAATGTAAATTATCAAAACAACTCTTATGAATATGATTGTGACAAATAAAAGCATAAATAAATTATGCTTCTCATTTATTGATTCATAATCTATTTTATAATAAATTTTAAGCCAATTGTCTAAATATCCTTGTTTATTTTTCAATGGATTTAAATATATTTTAGAGGTATGCATCATTGTTTACTTATAAGTTACTTCTGTTTAGTAACAAATAATCTAAAGTTAAACTAAAAATACAGAAAATGTAGCGAAAAGTAAATTTCATAATAAAAGAATAATTAAGACTTCGTTTGTAAACAATTAGTTTAAGTACTTATTATAAGTATTCTTTTGGATATAATTAAAACTTTCTTAATTAAAGTAAAGTAACTAGTAATTGTTTTATGATATAAAATGAATATTATATATCATTTATGCTACTTCTATATTAATTATGAGAACATTTCAAAATAGACCAAAAGTACTCGTTATATAATAAACAGTTCAATATATTGATAATTATAGACTTAATTTGTAAACCAATTCAATTTTACTTTAATGTGAATTTATATTTTAAATTAATATTTTCTAGGACATAAAAACCTATAAATTTCTTACAATCTTTATTTAAACTAAATAATTATTTATAAATATCCTACATTTAATGAAATTTTTATGAATAATAATAATAGTTTAATTCAAAACATTTAAATTCATATTACGGTACATATTAATATATTCAGTGTATAAACTTTTTAACAAAACTTATATCAAATAGGCTTTAATTACTTTTATAAAATAATTCAATTTTGTATCTAACACTCGGTATTAGTATTACTTGTTGTCAAAGAGAGACTCGTAACAGAAGTGTGTGAATACGATTGACTGACACCTGAATGAGACACATCTGAATCGGCACTTCTTTGCGGTGTCTTTCTCTCCAAACGAGTTGTCAATTGATATAACATAACGAATAAACCCTTTTATAGATTTAAATGATGTTAGAATTGGTGATCAATTATTACTATGACTCTAACCTGTAATCCGTTTATTATGATAAATAAATATGAAAATACATTTGGAAATGAAGTGAAGCGATGCATATAAAAGACAAATAGAGTCCAAGAAATGCCAGAATTAAAGAGCAAACACAAGAAACAAAACACTTGTCCGCCGGCCACTCGGTCTTTGGATTTTCGGACGATCACAACAAACAAATAGCCAATGAATAAGACATTCAATATAATGGAAACCATTGCGGGAACTATTAATTGACATCAATTGTTGAAGATTTTAGTATAACATTAAAAAATACATTTTAATATTAATAAATACCTATCAGTATTAAGATATTATTTGGGTGTTTAGGCGATGATATCCAGCAACTATTATAAATTTGTGTATACCGGTAATTAAAAATTTTTAGAAATAGTTAGAAATTTACATACAAATAATCCGATCCAACCAATGGTTCAGCAAACGGTTGACCAGCGCTAAGGGAAATACTAAGCAGGGAAATGAGTATAATTATAGCTGGTATACCATATCCAAGTGATTTTATTTCCATAAATAATTTACGTTTAAATATACGTAACATACGGTTTGCTTTCTTGACCTTAGGTACGTTTTCGTAGGTTTGTTTGTAACTATCGTTACTCATATTGTCTTTCTTACTCTTTTGAACACATAACGGCTGTTAAAACAAAAGATTATAAACATTATAAAATACTATTTAAAAGTAATTTTGTTTTTACCAGAATCTCATTCCTGTCCATTCCTATAATAATCAGTAGGTTTGCAACCAATAAACACACGCATAGATTGATGATAAAAAAGTCTTGTTTCTTCAAAAATCCAAGAGTTGTATCACTCAGTCCTTTGTTTTTAATTCTCATATTAAATAATCTTTTTCGTGACAATAATATTATAGTAAATAATAAACAAATTATAGAAACCAGTGTTGTATACAGTCAATTTTATAAGAAGTGAAGTAATAGGCAAAGAGACGGTGAGCACAGGTATTCTTGACGTTTTAAACAGTTTACTAACGTAAGCGTCTGTCAAAAGAGCACTAATCTCAGTGACTCTATTAGACGACAACCCTCTGAAGACCACTTATTAAGAGTAAAATCCCAGAAAACACAATCAACCAAATCGCCAACAATTAAATTTTTCTTATGACTTAAACTATGATATAAATTATAATTAATTTTAACTCAAATATGAAATAATTGTCAAACAATTACCTGATTCTTACATTGGAGTCATCAGTAAATACATGGGATTTATTTTCAATACTGAATGCAATTATATCACTATTGATCTCTTTATTAACAATTTTATTATTTAAATACTCGTGTAATCCATCGATAAGAGCTCCGAGAGATGTATCTGTTATACACGAGCTCTTCTCGTCATATGTCTCATCGGTTTTACCTCTTTTTGGTATCAAAATTGAAGAAGAATTGTATTCAAAGAGAATTTCTTCATTTGAATTAAAATAATTTATTTGAAATAAATTTTTACTAATAATTTCTTTCGTGTCATTCACTGGTTTTGTATTACAATTTGAAGAGAAACCTGTATATTGTATGTACTGTAAGAGTTGGGATCCCATTCCTATTTGCTGAGTGTCTGAGCCCTCATTGGTTCGGGCGCTGACCAGATAGTAAACTGACTTATTATTTTGTTTCAAAAGACGCTAACAGCCGAGTTGTGAACTTAGTCAACAAACGTTCTTTAATAAATTTAATTGTTATTAACAGTAGTTTAGTCTCAAACCATCCATTGATTGCAAACCATTTGTGTCGTTAGTATTTTTAACAATAATATCGAGTGAATCAATGACATCCTCAACAGATGTGATATTCTTGTTAATCAAGTCTTGTAACCAACAGTTCTCCTTCTCTGGTCCTCTTTCATCAAAAGTGCCGTTTTGTAAGCACTTCCACCTAAGCATACCATTCCCGTTGGTACAGTTGGCTTCTGAATATTCCCCAGGCTTAACAATAGGCCATTCACTGACCCCGTTATGATCATTATATTGTCCGTCAATATTACACCAAATACCTAATTTGTTAAATTTACAAACAATTTGTGTTATTAATACTGTATTATATAGACTTAATTAAATTCTACCTGAATAAAACTCCCAAATTGTAGTGTCATCACTACATTTAGCGTCAAATATTTGTTTTTCAAAAATTTTTCTTTGATTCATAAGCCACAGAAAATGAGACATTTGTTTTGGTGAACATATCAGTGGATTATTTGCTAAATATAACTTATTTTTATCGTTGTTTTTAAGAAAATCTTCAAAATAAACTTGTTTAATATATTCAAAGTGATTATTTTCTGTAAAAATTTTGAGGTTTTACAAGTAAATTACAATTTTAAAAAGTATATTAAAAATTGAAAATATTTACCCAAATTTAATGTAACAATCCTCTGTTTAATATTGAAAACACCTTGCTCTAATTTATTGTCATTCAGTTCAGTAGATCCGAAGTCAATATACAGGTCTTTGCAATTGTTGTCTAATTGGCGACATTCCTGTACTTGAAAGGCGTCCGCAGATATACCATTGATTGTAATGTTAGTAAATCTTAGTTTTTCAATGTTTGCCACATTATAGACAATGTTATTTCCAACAAAACATTATTATTTGACTGGGAATTTACACTAGTGAAAATTACACAACAGAAGTAATCTTTTCCGTCTCAGGCCATCTTATAATAGTCTTAAATTGAAATTTAATTGTTTGTTAAGTAAGTTCAAATTGATCGACGAAAATGCTTTATATAAATTATAGTCCGGGTTATCTGGATAATCTTGTAGACTCGTTTCAAAATTGTAACAATTATTCCAGATTTTTGTCTCAAAAGATGTAGAAAATGCTTGCGTGTGAATTTTCTCCAAATTGTTTGACATTATGTATGTCTCCTTGAATTTGAAATTTCTAAACACATTTTTAGGCAATTCTTTGTTAAGTATGGGTGCGATCCATATAAATAAATCCAAATTCTTGTCATTATGACTATTATCAAAGTCAGTCAACTCTTTCTCTATATCCAAATCATTAACTCTTGAATAACAAGTAAAAGATTTTTGTTCATCTTGATAATTACAGCCCTCTGTAAACTCATTTTTGTCAAGATATTCAAGAAATATATCACATTTATCGGCATTTACTATAATTATTAACAAGGATAATATTAGTACACTTGGTAAACGATTCATTTTTTGAATAAATTGTGAATGTGTTTTAATGAAACAAAAATATTTTATAACTTTTATATAATTTATGATTGCTCATATTTCCTTATTCCAATGTAAACTTTTACTTATATTATTATATTTGCGTACACTTTGTGATAACATTTTATGAGTTTTTATGACTCTGTTTCAAGTTTATATTATTCAGCCGGTAAATATTTTATGCTTTGACAGTAGTAACTATAGTAAATAAATGTTTATTAATTCAATAATATCGCAATTAATTTTATAATAAATTTATAAAACCATGGAATTTAATGGATATTTTGACAAATATTTTTATTAACTATATCTTAACAATAAGACAAATTTACAGATTCAACAAATTTAACAGTATATAACAATAGTGTTTGGTGATATTTGATTAAATAAGCTTATTTTACTACTAATGATAACAATTAATTAATATACCATATAATATTTATGTAAATGTTTATATTATATAACCTTTGATTAGTATAATATAATATAATCTTAATTGTTGAAACGAATAGCCAACTGATAGATCATAATAAAGACTCCCTGAATAAATATATAAGATAACTTAAATAAAAATATTATTTTAACAACGATCTGAATACATACTTGAGATCCATTCATAACAATGAAAACATATGACAATATGTTTGGGAATGGACTCAAACGATGCATATATGATAGGAATAGAGACCACGAAATACCGGAATTCAATAATAATAACAAGAATCCCAACACTTGACGCCTATTGACTGATGACTTCAATTTGATTACTTCATGGATTAGGTATGCGATGAAAATAATATTCACTGCCATTACTATCACTGCGGGACCTTATATTTAAGAAATGGAAATATAAATACCTTGGTCATTGAAATATAAATATGATTATAAATACCGATAAAAATCCATATATTGTTTGGATGTTTTGGTGATGATATCCAACAACTGTTTTAAAACAAATCTTTAATCAATAACCAGTACATAATCAACAAATTATACTCACAAATAATCAGATCCCACGAGTCCTTCGGAGAATGTACGGCCAGAGTTGGGCCAAACACTCAATAAGCCAATAAAAATGATAGGCACCGGGAGTCCATATCCCAGTAACACAAATATTTTGTCTTTGCAAGCAATCATAAACACATTATAAGTCATACGAAACAAATGAAAGGCCTGTAAAAGCATCCAAAGGAATGTCGACAACAAGGAGTACAACAGGAGTAATGAAATCACTTTGCATACAAACTATAAGATAATGAAAATGAGTTCATTTGATACTGAATTGAAATAAAGTGAAAATATTTACATTGATTTCGGTTCTGTCCATTCCTACCATAATTAGCAGATTCGTGAATAGGAGAGAAATACTTAGATTTAATACAATAAGATCTCTTTTTCTTAACAATTGGTTTGTCATTTCATTGAAACTATCTTTCTTGACATTGCTGTTGATATTGAATGTATGGAGTAATAAGACTAAAGTGTGCTGTTTTGTAATCAAAATAATGGTAATAATGAGGCAAATGACAGAAAGTGAACAAAACACTTGAGTGACCACATTCTTCATGTAGTCATCAGTTTCTCGGCCACTCGTGTCCATAAGAGCCGCAAAGTTTGTCAGATGATTGCATTCACAGACAGTGGTCTCACGATCCGAGTCCATCTCTATGAGACGACAGCCCTCTGAAGACCACTTATTTCGAGTGAAGTCCCAGAAAACACAGTCAACTCTATCGCCCAAATAAAGTCTATTCTTGTGTTTTAAACTATCAAAAAACATAAATAAGATAAGTATTAAGTAATTATTTTTACCTAAAATTAAGTAATTTGCTAATTAATAATATTATGCTAATTACCTGACTCTTACATGCGACCCATTTCCTAATATATGAGTATTGATTGCATTCGTAAGACTAAACGCAATGATATCAGTATTGACTTGTGTTTCATTGGTGCCATCAGTTAAATACTGTTGCAATTCATTGATCAGAAACCCTAAAGAAGTGTGTTTTAGACACGACTGCATCTCTTCATCATTTGCAAGACTTTGGCTCACATTTGGTATTAATATCGAAGAGGAATTGTATTCAAACAATATTTTCTCAGTTTTATTAAAGTAATGTTTTTGGACTAGATTTTTGCTCCAAAATAATTTTGTATCGTTCAATGAATTTAAATAGCAATTAGTGGAGAATCCAGTGGATTGTATGTAATGCAATAAATTTGATGCCGTCTCCAGTCTCTGACTGGCATTACCGTCAGTCCAGGCCATGGACTGGTCTATCACTTGGCTATACATCAGAACAAAGTTTTCCGATATATTCAAAGCAATCGATGGCTCACTAATAGAGTCATTATTTTGTAAGTAATTATTTAAGTTGTCTATTATTTTCAAGACTTTTTCCAAACCCTCCATTGATTTCAAGCCATTATTATCAACAGTGTTGTTGACAACTGTTTCCAGTGATTGGTTGTGCAGCAGTTGTGTTGACTATAAGAACCGCTGGTTCAGGAGATTGGTTGTCAGGAGATTGAGGCCGGGGTAGAGTAGTTTAGACGGTAAAAGATTCGTGAAGGTAAAGTACTGTGGAAAAGGGTTGGGACATTCAACGACTGAGTGCTTACCCGATGCGACGGCCGGCCATCTCTCAACTCCATGCATCCAATCATACTTCCCATCGCTATTACACATAACATCTGGTATTATAATGATTGGGGATGAGGTTCTTGTAGTGCTTAAGACTTTAGAAGTGGTAGAAATAAAAGGACTGGTAGATGAAGTGTTATCTGTCGTGGTAGTCGTAGGTTGAGTAACTGTGGTACTGGCTTGTGATGTACTTGAATATAAAGTGCTTGTGGATAGAGATTGTGTGGTTGAGGTTCTCGTTGATGAAGCACCTGTAGATGAGGTACTGGTAGGTGTGGCAGATGTGGTTGTAGATGAGGTTCTGGGTTGTGGTGAAGTGCTATCATAAATGATGGTGGAGTATGTGCTCGTAGTTTCAGTAGAATTCATTGTAGTTAATTCAGTGGGCGATGAAGTGCCTATAATTTAAATAATTAAAACAAAGTAATTCTTAAAATTTAAATATTAATTCATAAGTAATAAGTGATGTCATACCCTCTATAGTATCAATTCCCCAGTCAAACTCCCAAACAGTCTGTCCATTTGGACAACCTGTAGACCAAACTCTTGATTGATATCTGTCTCTATTCTTTAAAAGCCAATTGAATTTGGATTTTTGTATTGAATCACAATTTAATGGATTTTTCCCGAAGTATAATATATTTGATGGATTGTTGTCTAAGAAGCTCTTAAATATTCTCTCCTCAATGTATTCAAAGTTATTGTCCTCTAAACAAATGAATACAAAATAGTAATCATTTATGCTATTATAGTATGTATCTATTAATTTGATACAATTAGTAGTATAAAAATGTTACCTAAAATGAGATAAACAATACGATCGTTAATATCAAAAACTCCAGTTTCTAAACACTGTTCGCTTAATTGGGTTGCCTTTAAGTTAATGATCAGTTTAAAGCAAATGCTAGGATCATCGCATTTGTATATTTGAAAAGCGTTGGCAGAAATCCATTCAATGCTATTTACGGCATTCAAATCAATGGTCTGAATATTTCTAAGATTATAAAAGGCATAGTTTCCAACTCGCGATATATTGAACTCGCCGTTTACTGCAATGTATTTCAGTTGAGATGATGTGTTGAAAGCATAATCTGGTATATCGTGTGTGAAATTCCACTTTAGGTTAATGTAAAGTGTTTCGAGAGATGTAATCGTAGAAAAGGCTTTATATAAATCATAGTCAGAGTCGGCCCTGTTTTGCAATGCTGTCGATTGGGAGCCAAAATGTTTCCAAACTTTGATACTCTGACCGGAAGGACCGCTAAATGCCTTCGTGTGTATAAACTCCAGATTAGTTGATGTAAACTCAACGTTAAACAATTTGATGCCTTTAAATGCATTCTCAGGTAATATGCCGTTCCGTACGGGCGCCGACCACTCAAATGTTTCAAAGTACTTGTTATTTGGGTCTAACTGTTTGTCTAATCTATCAAATTCTTCCTCAATGTCTACTTCGTGTGACTCCGAAGAACAGAAAAGGCTATAAAAGTTGGTGTATTGACAGTAATGCCAATCAAAATCCCAAATTGAGCGCTCATTAGTACACTTTGTACTTAAGACTCGTGTCTGATATTTAGATCTTTGATTTAAGAGCCAGGCAAATTTGGGTTTTTGTTGCGGATTGCAATTCAGTGGATTATTGAAGTATAAGATATTTGCCTCATTATTATCTAAAAAGTTTTTGAATAACTTCTCGTCAATGTATTGAAATAAGTTATTATCTAATAATAGTGGATATAAATAAATTATTTACTAGTTAGTCATGTAAATACAGTACAGTAGTAATAAATATAGTTAATTATAGTATAATATTTTATTTGATATTTTGTTACAAAACTTACTTAATAGTAAATAAGTATCCCGGCCTTTTATATTGAAAACTCCTTCTTCTAGTGAGTTATCATTGAGTTTAGTTGACTCCAAATTAATCAAAAGTTTGTCACAAATGAGTGTATTCTCGCATTCTTGCAGTTGAAATGCATTTGATTGGATCCGATGAATGGCATTCACGCCATTAAAATGTATTTTATGTAAATTTTTCACGTAATAGAAAGCATTGTTTCCGATCAGAGATATATTGAAAGGACCTCTGAATGAAATACTAGTTAATGATAACAAGTCCTCTAAATTATTATTTTTAAAGGCATATTCCGGAATATCATGATTATAATTGTCACATAAATTAATTGATACACTTTGCAATGTAGGTATTGATGAATATGCCTTATATAAGTCATAGTCGGAATCAGCAAAGTTAATTAATTTAGTAGTCTTATCACCCAAATGGTTCCACTCATAGATATTATTGCCATTATTTAAGACAAAGGCTTTTGAGTGAATTTTCTGCAAATTTGGTGAATTGAATGCCACGAATCGGAATTGAAATTCGTTGAACACATTCTCGGGTAAAACACCTCCGGTTATGGGCGCCGACCACTCCAAGCGGTTAAAACTTTTCTTATCAGGCAACTTTGTGGCCAACGATTGAAATTCCTGGTTTATGTCCAATGGTGTTGAAAATGAGAAACAGTTTATGCTTTCGTATACACTGAATGTGCAATTGTCAGTGACCGAGCTCACATCCCTGGCATCCCTGGCCAAACTCGTATTCACCGTTAGAAATGCATAATAATAGTCATCATTTAGGAATGTCGTCAAAATTATTAAAATTACATGTTTTACTGCATTTAACATGTTTTATAAGAAATTTAATTGAAAGTTCATTTTTAGTTCATTTAATTAAGAAATTTTTAGAAATATAAACTTTAAACATGTCGTAAAAATTATTATATTAATGATTTCATTTGACATCTCAATAATAAACTTAAATTATCACAAAATATGTGATAGGTTTTTACAAAAATTATTTTATTACACCTTTTATATGAAAAATCATGGGTTATTACAGTGACTTTGATTTGAGTGCAAATATTTGTTGCGAAAATTGTTTCAAACTTGTTGCAGTACAAGTTATATAAACAAATCAAACATTTTTAATTAACTAAGTAAACATTATATACTCTTCAGGTTTATTATAAATAGTTATTATTTAATATTAAATTTTCCAAATGTTTACAATCATATTAAGAATGAGATTTCTATTAAAAAAGGGAAATTAATCTCAAACACAGATACTGTATGTATTTTGTTATACAGAATATAACATATCTGTATCTTATCTAAATTGTAATTTATTTTAATAAAAATATTTCAAGATACTATGAAAATACAATATTTATGCTACTTACTATATAAATTACATTATACTGTAGATACAGTCTAATAACTATATATTACAAGACATTTCTTGTATTAATATTTTTTTATTTTACTTATTAATCTGATTGAAGTTATGTCGCTTACAAAACTACCCCAGTTATTAATTCATTGGCTTCATGTACAGTATTAAATATTTAATACATAATGCTTTTTATTAGCTATTATGAGATAAAGTGTCCATTGATTTTTTATTAAGTATATTATTATTGGAAATAATTGATGAATTCTACAAAAGTGGTGATATATAGCCATAAATGAGTCAATGGATAATTTATTAAAATAATTAACAGATCATGAGAATCGATATAATGTCCTACTGCCGTAGAGCAAGTTCAGTTTTAATGCTAATTGCTCTTTAAGTTAATGATACTAATTAACTAATTGTGTGTCAATCGAGTGATTATAAGATGTATGAAATGAAACAATGATTAAGATTGATGTCATGACTGAGTTAATAGCTTTCCAATTAATTCAAATGTATTGCCAATTGATATATCAATATAAATATTCCCTAAAATGCAAGAATATAATCAATTTGCGTAACAAATTTGTATTTTATGTGACACTTACTTGTGAGCCATTCATTACAATGAAGACATAGGATAAGGCAACAGGAATTGGACTCAAACGATGCATATATGATAGGAATAGAGACCAAGAAATACCAGAATTCAGTAATAATAATAAGAATCCAAACACTTGTCGTTTGTTAACAGAAGATTTCATTTTAAATATTTCGTGGATTAGATATGCAATGAAAATAAGATTCACCGCCACTACTGTCACTACAGGACCTAGTATATTCACAAACAGAATAATAAGAATTTAATTATAAAATAAATAACTATATAAAAAATAGTACCAATTAATATATAAACATTCTTTGGATGTTTCGGTGATGATATCCAACAGCTATTTAATAAACAAAATAAAAATCTTTAAGTAAAACTACGAATACATTAAAAATTAAATGCTTACAAGAAGTCATTGCCGACGAGTGCCTCACCAAACGGCTGTTCATCAGTCCATACATTTAATAATCCAATGAGAATAATAACAAATGGAAATCCATATGCAAATATCATAAACAAGTAGAGTTTGATGCCCTCATCAAACACATTATAAGTCATACGAAACAAATGAAAGGCCTGTAAAAGCATCCAAAGAAATGACGACAATAAGGAGTACAGCAATAAAAATGACAGCAATTTGCAAACCGACTGAAACGATAAGTGAAATAATGTGATATTAAAATCGTTTAATAAATCTGAACATTTGTTTGTAATTATATGATACTGACTGCAACTTCTGTTCTGTCCATTCCTACCATAATAAGCAGGTCTGCAATCAATAGACAAATACTGAGATTCAATACAATTAAATCTCGCCTTTTGAGCAATTGTTTGGTTATCTCGTTGTAAGCCTTCCTTTTAGTACTCTTTGTTTTATTAAATTTGTTTTGCAATAAAATCAATAAATCCTTTCTCGTGATCAACACGATTGTGATTATGAGACAAATGACGGAAAGGGCGCAAAACACAAGAGTGACCGCATTCTTGGCCGACCCGTTCTCCTCTCTGCCGGTGGTGTCCATTAGGGCCGCGAAGTTTGTCAGATGTTTGCACTCACAGACTGTTGTGTCGCGGTTGGAGGCACTGGTAATCACTTTACAGCCCTCTGAAGACCACTCATTCTTCTCGAAATCCCAGAAAACACAGTCCACAGCATCGCCCAAATTGATCTTGCTCTTATGCTTCAAACTATATATCAGACAAATTTATTATTCACCTAGTTAACATGCTTAAATAATTGACAAAATTATCTACTGGTGCCGCACCTGACCCTCACATTCTTGCCATCGTTGAGTTCATGAGTTCCGTTCGCGTTATTAATACTGAAAGCAATGATTTCGGTATTGATTTCCTGTTTATCCATCAATTCTTTGCTCAAATGCTTCTCCAATCCCTGTATAAGAGCCCCGAAATCGCTGTTCTTCTGACACGACTGGCTATAGTCGGCGTCACTGAAGACAATGCCGTCCGGTATTAGTATTGAAGACGAGTTGTATTCAAACAGAATTTTATCCGTTTTATTGAAGTAATGCATTTCAAAGACATTATCGCTCACAAACTTTCTCGTGTCATTCAATGGACTTAAATAGCAATTGGAAGAGAAAGCCGTGTATTGGATATACAGCAAGAGCTGAGACGCTGTTTCCAACCGTTCGGTGTCGGAGCCGTTACTCCACGCAAACGACTGATCTATCACTTGACTGTAGGTATGCACGAAATTATCGGAAACGTCGACAGCTATGGAGGGCTCGACTTGGGATCCATTGACCTGAAGGAAAGTCTGCAAATTGATGACAACTTTCATCACTTTTCCCAAATGACTCATTGAATTCAAGCTGTTATTAGTGCGCGTGTTGTCCACCAAAGTCTGCAATGATTTGGTCATATCGTCCACCGATTCAATGGTCTTATTGACCAACTCATCCAACCAACACGGCTCACCCCCTTCCGGACCGCTCGAGTTGAAGTGACCGTCTGGAAGGCACATCCACTTCAGCTCTCTTCCATTGGCACATTTAGCTGTGGAGTAGTGGTTGGGCTCAACGGGCGGCCACCTCCTGATCCCCCACGACCCGTCGTACGTGCCGTTCACATTGCATAACAAAATCGTGTCATTACTCTCTATTAAATAGCAATCAATTATTTTAATACATTCATCATATTTGATTTTAATTTATATATACTGTATGTACACCAAAAAATTAATTAAAAATTCACATAAAGTTGTACCTTTAGTCCAATCATAGTCCCAAATGGTCTGACCATTTTGACAATTAGCCAAAACCCGGTGTTTAAATGTATCTGTATTGTTAAGAAGCCACATATAATTAGATTTATGATCTGGACCACATATTAATTTATTTCTCTTAAGTGATAATCCATTTGAATAGTTTTCCAAAAATTTTGCAAATTTGTCTTCGTATATATGTTCAAAATCATTATCATCTACAGTGCATACAAATAAAGCCAATTATTAAAACACAAATAAGTGAATATTTATCAAAATATGAAAATACCTAAGTTTAGGAATACACTTTGATAACCTGCTGAATAAAATGCATCATTTTCTACACTATTGTCGGACAGTTGAGTCTTATTCAAGTTGATAGTAATCGGGTGGGTATACACGTTGTTTATAAAAGCATCGACAGATATATGGTTAATTTTGGACACATTAAATGTGATGTCTGTGATTGCCATCAGATTCAGGAAGGCCTTACTATTAATCTTATTAATTGTAAATTTTCCATTAAATGTGATCGACGTAAGTGTGGGGTGTGATTTAAATGCATGTGACAGTATATCATGTTCACCATGCCCATTTAAATTTATTGATAGCGTTCGTAAACTTTTTATAGAATTAAATGCCTTATACAGGTCGTAATCAGTTCCCGGATAGTTTGATAACTCTATGGCACTGTCCCCTTGCAGTGTAATACGTTGAATGGTGTGCCTAACGGACACACCACTGAATGCACGCGAATGAATTTGGTAGAGATTGGGTGCACTTATTGTAATATAAGCCACACTCGTGATATTGTTGAGCACTAGTGAAGGTATAGTACCCAGGGTGATATTAGCCGACCAATATATGCCTTTATAAGCATTAAACCGCAATTTTTTGAATTCTTCGTTCATATTTAACTCAGTATTGGACTCGCATTTTAACCATCTTTCATAATATTGGTCGAAGTACTCAGTGCACCCACCCGTCCGTCCAGTTATACTATAACCACTTTCATGCGAACTATCCTTCACTCGTATACCAATATTTGTGTTAATATTTCCCACAATAAACACAATGAATATCAATTGTTTCATAATAACCAAAGTTATACTTATATGATTACACATTCTTATAACACTTTTACATAGTTTAATCACAAATTATCAAGTATATAGATACTGTATTTTTCAAATAAAAATCTTTTACCGGTATACAATTTATTAGAAAACCTTAATGTTTAGCTGTTTTATAATAATTTGTCAAATAAAACAATCACAAATACTTTTACTATTCAATATTTTGTACAATTCATTATCAAGGTATTAAGTTATTTGTATTGCGATTTCATTAGGAAAAACTCAATTTACATTGAAAGCAAACAAAGTCTAAATGACATTTCATATCAGATATTAAAAGACTTATCACAACTTATTCATACGATTCTGTGTCAAGACTACACTCTTTCACGTTTTCTACATAAGAAACTATTTCTTGATTCATTTATAACTCATTATAAAACTATTTTTACAAATTGGACATTTTCTCAGATGATATGTCAATTGTAAATCACGTAGTATCAATCAAGTTTATGATACACTTTTTATCTATAAACTCCTATTAATCTTTCAATTTATTTAAGATATTATAAAGTTAAGTATATTTTTCTAAACAATTACTACTTAATCTTAATACCAGTGGAATTAAGTACAGTATATAATGTATAGTATATAATGTATTTTAGTTTATTTGTAATTTCATTTTAGGCCCTACTTTCCGGTCATATCTAATCTGAAAACTAATTTCATTTTTTATATGTAATTAAATTCTCTGAGACTCTATGACAATGAAACTAAATTCTGTACACATTTGCGACTAACTTAACAATTTATAATCACCCCTCCCCTCTAATATAGTTTATGGCGATAAATAAGTTGATATAATTTACAAAAATATATTTTGTTCCCAACTCTATGTCAAATGTTTGCCTACTTTTGAGAATCTCCCATAAGTGTAACCATGAATTTATTGTGGTTATAATGAATTCACTGATAAGACTTTGTTTGTTACAACTTTTTATTGTTATTTAGTGATATTCACATAATACCTACAAAGTACCTGTGTATTTAACGGTCGCCAATTAAAGTACTCAATTAACACTGTAAAAAATATTGAAAGAATTATCATTGAAAACATTGTTTTATTTCAATCTTAATTATATAATCTTTGTTTATACATTGAATTCATAATTGAATTTTATAAATAATTATATGAAATATTCAAACAATTAAAATATTAAATGATAATAAAGTGAATTCTGTGTTTTTCTGGCAATTCAATTGAATTAATATAATAAATAACAAGAAATTTTAGGAAAAATAAATTTACTAATGAAATGAAATTATTGTACAATAAATACGATTTATGTTTTGATTATCGGCTAAACAACATGAAAGTTAAAACTTATGAATATATTGGAAGTCAATAAACAATTGTATATTAAATAACAATTCAAGTGAAATGAAATAATTTTTAGAGCTATTCTGATAGCTATTATATTAATATACCGTATATTATAGTACTGTATATTCATAGATAGAGATTAAACGTGTTATATATATATTTTTTCTGATGAGAAACTATCAAAATATACTCCAAATGTACACAAATGAGCTCAACGTCCGATGAGATCTCTAAACAAATCCTAAAAAAGGATTTCACTTTTAAAACAATCAAATTTGACTCAACACTCAATGTAATAGTCATTGTATTTGTCACTTCTCTATAACCAAATAATTTGTTCGCAAAAATTGTGTTTTCATATAATTACAAGACTTTGATTCTTATGTAAATCCCCCACAGAATGGCTTCAATATCTATATTAATGTCACAAACAAAATGGTTTTAAGATTAAATTACTTATATATTATGTATCCGTGTGTTACATAATAATATGAAATTATCAGGTTGTAAAATATTCTACATTTTGTCAATAAAAGTACTATTGTCCCTGGTATTAAATTTGGCCCATCCTAACATTCAATACTTACATAAGATATACCTTTTGATATATTTGAGGCACAGTTTAGTTACTTATGAAAAGTTTTTTGTTTTATTTTAAAGATTTTTTCATATATTCTCCTTGTCTATAGTTTCTAATAAGTGAATCAATACTTACATAAGATATACCTTTTGATATATTTGAGGCACAGTTTAGTTACTTATGAAAAGTTTTTTGTTTTATTTTAAAGATTTTTTCATATATTCTCCTTGTCTATAGTTTCTAATAAGTGAAACTATTATATAAAATCAATAATTGTACTAAATATTAGTGAATATCAAGGTATTAAAGAATTTAAAGTCAAAATAATCAGATTTCAGCACAAAAACTGGTCATTTAAATGAAAATATAAATTGAGGAAAACTTGATGTAATAATTGATATTAATATGATTTATGCCGAAAATAAAATGATAAAATCCATAAAACAGATAATATTTTTTGTGCGCTTAGCTTTAATATGTGTATTCAAACAAACACTGTATCCAATTAAATCAATTCAATAACTAATATAAAATCTGTAAGACTTTAAAGTGTGACTGCAAAAAACGAAAACAATATTATATAAATATTTAGACGACGGTGCCATTAAAATTACTGTCTGTCTTGTCGTCATTAATATGTATTTTGACGCCATTGTCCTCCAGACCCACTAATAGACTCTCGAAGCCGGACTGTCCTGAAGCCGGCGGCGACGAGTGGTTACTATGACTGCTGTCATTAGCTTCAGGACTGTCGGGCGACTGGACTCTGGACTCGACGGTATCGATGACCACATCGATGTTTGGCTGCTCTTTATTACTATTTGATTGGGAACTCCGGGACCGTTTGACACGACAGGCCGGAGACTTAGAGCGCATGGAGTTGCCACGAGTCAGGAATATCTTCTTACTATTGATAGGACTCGGCTTTATTATGAAGCTATGGGTTGCATAACATTTGGTTAGTAAATAAAATCATGTAAATAAAACTAATCCTCACATAATGTCTCCCTCTTCTAGTTTGAGATCACAGTTTGGATTAATAATAACATACGAAAGACTACTTCGCTTTTCAGAGCAATTATCTGAAAGTGAAACCAAATGTGAATAAGATTATTCGCAAACTATCCGATCAGTCAATTCAAACCGTAGTCTTCTTGAGGTATTCCCATATCTTGGAGTCGATTTCTGACCAGATTTGTAATCTCCTGGCGCTCGACCTCAACACTGATTTGTTGGAAATTCATTTGTTCGCTCACAGGAAATACAAAATCATACGCTATTTGAACCCCCTTTGCATTGAATTTAAAAACACCATTAAGTGAATTATAATTACAAAATAAAATCAAAACATTTCTTACGGGAAAGAGTTCGGGATTTTGAGTACTTTGAGTCCTATAAATACCAATCGGTATTTCACAAGTGGTGGAGCACAACCTCTGGTAGAGTCTACCGTATGTGCGGATCCAGAGGTCATCTTTGGTGATACGCATGGAGGACAGGAAGCCAGAGCCGGGCGCCTGATCTATGCCTAACAGTAGGCGCACTACAGTTATCATATAGTCTTTGACGAACGCCTGGTATAGCAATGTATCCAACATTGAGGCACTGAATACACTTCCGGCAGCGAATGGAAGCCTAAACATGTATGATATGTGGGATCCCCTCTCCCTTTCCATCTGTGCACCGATTAAGCATACGTTAAAAATTAACTAGCTAACTTTGTATGATTAATAATTTAGGGAAACGGTACAAACCTTTTCCATTTTGGAGAGTGAGAGGGCATAGGCGTCATGAGCCCTGAACTGCATGAATCGCATATTACTTGATTGACTCAATTCAGTGATCATTCGGGCCGATGGGAACATTTTGAACATTGTCTGTACGGCTACTATTGTGTTACAATCTGCCAAATAGTCCTCCTCTGCAGAATTGGTCGACTCCTTGTTCACCACCACTACAGAGTCGGCCAGATTTATGCCCGCCCTTATCAGGTCATCCAGACTATCGATACAACATTTATTATCATGTATTCATTGAATCTAAGCTAATATTATTATAAGTACAGAATAATATCAAACAAGAATCCGGATAACTCTTTAGTTACTAACGATAAGTAAGACATTAATAATTAATGAACTCTTTATATGCTTTGGATCACAGTTTCCTCAATAGTTTTTGATTACATTTACGGTTGTATCGGATTAACCAAAGGATACAATATTATAAAGTTATTTGTGCACAAATTTCCTACAAACCTTAAACTTAAAAATAAAAATTTACTAAAATTTCGATACAATTGTTTTTTGGTAAAATTATAATTCTAGCCAATCATGTTTTAAAATTATTTTTAAAAACTAATTTACAAGTAATTGTCAAAATCTTTTCATTATATAAGAGATGTTGCCATAAATAAAATCCATTTGAAGGAAATGAATGCCGCATAAAGTGACTGTTTTTCTAGACTTAAAGTGAATTATTATTCCAATGAGTGGTTCATTGATTTAAAAACAGTATAAAACAAAACAAATGAGAAAAATCTCATCAAACGAATGAGGTTTTTGTGAGTATATAGACATAAGAAAGTAAAAAAGTTGTTATAAAAACGTTTATTGAATGCAATGAGATTTTCATTCATTACATTAAATGAAAATAAATTATCCCATCAATTGGTATGGATGTCTCGCACAGGGATGTAATCGGGATTATGAGAAATGCTTAACTCTAACCCCTATTCTCACATTTATGGTATTTTTGACTTTCAAACAATTAAAATATAAATTATCTGGATACTTTAAAAATAGTAAATGGGGTTGACTTTAAATAAAATCTTTATTTATCATGATGGCGTGGATGTCATACTTATCAATGGATCCCTGCATCCAATAGACGAGTGGGAACCAGGAAATGGCGTCAATGAAGGCCGGGTTGGGACGCCTTTCCAATAGGAGGACAATTGGCCGCAAAGTGTTGGGGTTATGGAAGTGGGCTCTGAGAGGCACAATGAAGTTGTAGATACCATTACTCGCGTAATCGGCCGCCAGTATTATACATCGGGTTTGTTGCCAGTTGTAGTCCCGGGCGTGGAGGTATGGACAGTGTTCGCACTGCTATTGATGAACACATATTTCGTGAAATGGTTCCGTAACTCGAGAGGAATGGTATCTACCTTTGATATTTGTAGACAACAGGGAGGCTTCTTGTCTTTGACTAAATAACAGAGCGTAGGGCTGACGCCAACGTATGGCGAAACTGGCGGAAAGCCTTTGACAATACTATTCAAAGTGTGTTCAAAAAGATAAGAATATATGAGATATATTTAACTATTGTTTTTTTGTGTAATTTTTAATTCACTATTAAATGCGATGAAAAGTGTTTTGATAAATAATGTCAGTTTAGTATCAAATGTAACATAAACTCTAAATTTAAGAATAAATCGCTTGAATAAAAATATTAATATATTTTGTTTGAAATAAAATTTTTTGTTTTTCCAGAATCAAAAACTAAAGCAAAATATTTCGTTTTTCATTAATTTTCGTTACGGTTTCCTCACATGAATTAATATGATGTTGTTTTTATACGAGATTTATGAATTTTGGTGTTTATTTTAAAATGAAAATAATTAATATTGGCTATCATAAATCAAAAAAGTATTATTAAAATCAGTTATAAATAAACCATTATATGTTTGAAAACATGTGATTCTCTCATCTAAATGAATTCTTTAAAATTTTCCAACAAAATCAATAAATTGTATGAAATCAAGTCACAAAGATCACTTCAATTAAATGGCACAAAAATAGACTTTAAATAGAGGTTATATTAAATCTCAAAATATAAAACCCACTCAATTTAAAGAATCATTGTATTGAAGTCATTCTCGAATTGAAATTCTCTATTAATACAACAATTTGTTGAATGCACTTAACATGACATTACAGAAATGTCATAACCTTTTTATTGTACGATTCCCCACAATGAATGTCAAAACTATAATGAATTTTAATCTCACTCTAAGCCTATTGCCGACCGCCTATTGAGTGAACAAATATTTAAAGCCACGACTTATGCCTTAATATAGATATAAGGAAAGACAGTATAAGAGAAAGCAAATGTCATTTACTCGGAGCTCTCTGCGGGTGAACTCCAGGGTATCTCGAGATACTTTTCCTGCTCGTGTTCGCTGTCGTGCTCGCTGTCCGAGTCCTTGTCGCCCAACATGGCCGGCACGGGCGCTATACTGGGCCGACGACCGCGCGCGGCCACCACGTCGTTGGCTTTGGTGGTGGGCGAGGCGGGGCTCCCGAACTCAATCTTAGGCACTTCGAGTGTACTCTGGCGGCCGGTCGTCACGCGCTTCACTTTGACGGCAAACTCGGTGACCGCGCGCTTCAGACGAGTGGGCGATGAGTCGCGACGTATTTTAGTGCCCGAAAGGGTCGAGTCCGACGAGAAGATGTTGGAACTCTTGCGCCGAACGCTCGACAGGAACGACATCTCCACCGACTGTTTCGCTTCGTTCGGTATTTGGATCCGATTGTAGGCCTGAGAGGGCGTCGACTCGGCGTCCACCGGTTTGATGGCCTCGCCGTTGTTGCCGTTGTTCGTGTCGACCCCTCCGCCGCCCGAATGACTGGTCGCCGGCAGGAAAGCCGAGTTCTCCTCTTTCGTGATATTCATATAAAAACAAATGTCTGATATCTTGAGCACATAGGATGGGCCGGGATTTAGCATAATAGGCCAGGTGCCCCTCATGTCTGTCTGTATGCCGATCAGTGCCACACCATATCTGGTAATGGAAAC